CGGACACTGCTGATAGGACTGCAAATTGGTGCAACCACTATGGAAAGCAGTATGGAGATTCCTCAGAAAACTGGGAATGAAACCACCATTTGACCCAGCTCTCCCACTCCTTGGTTTATACCCAAAAGACTTAAAATCAGCATAGTATAGTGACACAGCCACATCAATGTTTATAGCAGCTCAATTCACAATAACTAGACTATGGAACCAACCTAGATGTCCCTTAACAGATGAATGAATAAAGAAAATGTGGTAAATATTACTCAACTTTAAAGAAGAGTGAAATTGTGACATTTGCTAGTAAATGGATGGAGTTGGAGAATATCATGCTAAGCGAAACAAGCCAATCCCCAAAACCAAAGGCCAAATGTTTTCTCTAATATGCAGATGCTAATTCACAATAAGGTGGAGGCACTAGGGAAGAAGAACGTTACCTAAGATTAGGTAGAGGGAAGTGATGAGAGGGGAGGGAAACAAATATTATTACTGTATGTATATATGACTACGTGACCAATATGATTCTGCAACATGTACACTCAGAAAAATGAGAAATTATATTCCATGTATGCATGATATATCAAACTGCATAAATACATTCTACTGTCATGTATAACTAATTAAAACAAATAAAAAATTTTTAAGGGCTAGGGATGTGGCTCAAGCGGTAGCGTACTTATCTGGCATGCGTGTGGCCCGGGTTCGATCCTCAGCACCACATACAAACAAGGATGTTGTGTCTGCCGAAAACTAAAAAATAAATATTAAAAAATTCTCTTTCTCTCTTAAAAAAAAGAAATGCATTTCTGTATATCAGTGATAAATCCTCTGAAAGAGAAATGAGGAAAATGATCCAATTTACAATAGCCTCAAAAACAAACAAAAAAACAAACACCTGGGAATCAATTTAACCAAAGAAGTAAAAGACCTGTACAGTGAAAACTACAGAACACTAAAGAAAGAAATTAAAGAAGACCTTAGAAGATGGAAAGATCTACCTTGTTCTTGGATAGGCAGAATTAATATTGTCAAAATGACCACATTACCAAAAGCACTATACAGATTTAATGCAATTCCAATCAGTAATAAAAAGCAGTTATGAAATTCATCTGGAAAAATAAGAGACCCAGAATAGCTAAAGCAATCTTTAGCAAGAAGAGTGAAGCAGGTGACATCACTATACCAGACCTTAAACTATACTACAGAGCTATAGTAACAAAAATGGCACGGTATTGGTACCAAAATAGACTTGCAGACCAATGGTACACAATAGAGGACATAGAGACAAACCCACAAAAATACTTATCTCATATAGACAAAGGTGCCAAAAACATATATTGTAGAAAAGATAGCCTCTTCAACAAATGGTGCTGGGAAAACTGGAAATCCATATGCAACAAAATGAAATTAAACCCCTATCTCTCCCCATTTACAACTCAACTCAAAGTGGATCAAGGACCTAGGAATTAAACCAGAGAACCCTGCACCTAGTAGAATAAAAAGTAGGCCCAAATCTTCATCATGTTGGATTAGGCCCCAAATTCCTTAAAGAGACTCCTAAAGCGAAAGAATTTTAAAATCAAGAATCAATAAATGGGATGGATTCAAACTCAAAAGCTTATTCTCAGCAAAAGAAATAATCAATAAAGTGAATAAAAAGCCTACAGTGAATAGAGAACAAATTTTTACCACATGTACATCAGATAGAGCACTAATCTCTAGGATATATAAGTCAAAAATCTTAACACCAAAAAAAAAAAAAATCAAATCACCCAGTTAATAAATGGGCCAAGGAACTGAACAGACACTTCTCAGAAGATGATACACAATCAATCAACAAATATATGAAAAAATGTTTAATATTTCTAGCAATTTGAGAAATGCAAATCAAAACTACTCTAAGATTTCATCTCACTCCAGTCAGAATGGCACCCATTAAGAAAACAAACAATAATAAGTGTTGGCGAGGATGTGGGGAAAAGGGCACACTCTTACATTGCTGTTGGGAATGCAAATTGGTGCAACCAATCTGGAAAGCAGTATGGAAATTCCTTGAAAAGTGGGAATGGAACCACCATTTGACCCTGGTGTCCCACTCCTCAGTTAATACCCAAAGGACTTAAAAACAGTATACTATAGTAATGCAGCCACATCAATGTTTATAGCAGCAGAATTCACAATAGCTAAATTGTGGAACCAACCTAGATGCCCTTCAGTAGATGAATGGATAAAGAAAATGTGGGATATATACACAATGGAACTCAGCAATAAAAGAGAGTAAAATCATGGCATTTGCAGGTAAATAGATGGAGCGGGAGAATATAATGCTAAGTGAAGTTAGCCAATCCCAAAAAACCAAATGCCAAATGTCTTCTCTGATATAAGGATGCAGATTCATAATGGGGATGGGGGGAGCATGGGTGGAATAGAGAAACTTTGGGTAGGACAAAGAGAGGGAGGGGAAGCAGGGGAATGGGGGTAGGAAAGAGGGCAGAATGAGACAGTCATCATCATCCTAAGTACATGTATGAAACACGAATGGTGTGAAGCTACTTTGTGTTCAACCAGAGACATGAAAATTTGTGCTCTATTTGTGTAATATGAATTGAATTGCATTCTGCTGTCATATGTAACTAATTAGAATAATTAAAATTTTTAAATTACAAAAACAACAACAACAACAAACTGATTGTATAACCAAACACAGGCAGGTTGAGAAGTGAACTCTGGTACAAAGACAAGGGGCTTTGAAGTCAATGCATCTTTAGGGAAAATCTAGACGATTCTGAAGGCATAATTTTGGCATATCATCACCTCCCTCATAAGACCATTGTATAATAATGTGTTAAAGCGTTTATTATGGCTGGGTACAGTGACCCATGCCTGAAGGTAAGGCAGGAGGATCACAAGTTCAAGGCCAACCTCAGCAACTTATAAAGGCCCTAAGCAACTTATTGAGACCCTGTCTCAAAATAAAAAATAAAAATGGGAATGTGGCTCAGTGGTTAAGTACCCCTGGGTTCAATTCCCAGTACCAAAATAATAATAGTAATTAAATTAAAAAAGAGTTTAGCACAGTGAGTGATCCAAAAATCATAAGTGTTTAACATTTTTTAATGCCTCTCATACCTGACACATATTGGGAAGTATTAAAGAAGATCTGGGGGCTGGGGATGTGGCTCAAGCGGTAGCGCGCTCGCCTGGCATGCGTGCGGCCCGGGTTCGATCCTCAGCACCACATACAAACAAAGATGTTGTGTCTGCCAAGAACTAAAAAATAAATATTAAAAATTCTCTCTCTCTTTCTCTCTCTCTCTCTCTCCTCTCTCACTCTCTTTAAAAAAAAAAAAAGAAGATCTGTGCAGTCTTCCTCAAAGCATATAACTAACAGCAAATAAAGGAACTGCAAGCATTTTAGCTATGATTTGCCCATATCTAGTTAAACTAGATTCTTTTCTCTTTTTTCCCCATCTTTTCTTTCTTTGAGGGGGAGTTATTAATTTTTTTCTCTTTCCACATAAGCACATAGATTATTTTCCTCCAGAATTTCATCCTTAAAAACGAATAGCTCTCCAATGTATTTGAATATTTATTTTCCTTCTTTTCCCAAAGGGAAGAGCAGGAAGTAAGAGTCACTGAACCAAAGCGAGAGAAATCTGACAGCCAATTAATTTCTGCAGCACTAGTACAGAACACAGGACTGGCTTTGAGGTCACAGAAATGACCTTTGTGAACTTCCAGTGACCACACCTATCTTAGGTGCAAAGTTGCATTCACACCTCAGCTACATCCCGCCATACATTATATTGGCTTGACAGGGTTGAATGCAACCCTGTCTGATAGTTTTGCAAAAACCTGACCCCATGTAGATTTTTTAAAGGAATTCCCCTCCCCATTAAAATATTGTTTTCACTTGTGTTGAATCCATATGGCCATTTCCAAGATCCTTTTGAAGTACATCTGAAAAACGAGCATTCTCTAAAACCAATTCATAGCCATTCCTCTTGGCTGCTAAAGTGATGTTCCCAAGCCAAAGTAGCAATGACGTTGAGTACAATTTTTACTCCACTGCTCCTTTTCCTGTTTTCATAATAATAGGAGCTATAGTCTGGAAGAAATAAGGGCCTTTGGCTGTACATAGCCTACCACCTGTGAGCATGGGGCAGAAAAGGCCGGAACCCCACTGTGCAGGGCCTGTAATATCAAGTCATTTACCAAGTACAAAAGCCAGCAGAAAAATATTCCATGTAGTATATTACAGAACTCTTTTATCCATTCTATTGTACTGGGCATGAATTGCACTTATTAATTAAGGCACATATACCTTGAAAGTGAATGAATGGAACAACACTCAGAGGAAGGATTAGTATGTTGCTGAGGGGAAGAATGTGTCCTACATTTTTCAGAGGAAGTAGAAATATTAGGTCAGTATCTTAAAGTCTCAATCCATTCAATCTTTCAAAATTGCAAATTAATTCTTATTTTGCTTGGTTGTTTGCCATTGAAATTTAACTCCTTATTTGGTTTTTACGAATTAAAAAATAGAGCCAGGCGCAGTGGCGCATGCCTGTAATCCCAGCAGCTTGGGAGGCTGAGACAGGAGAATCGCAAGTTCAAAGCCAGCTTCAGCAACTGTGAGGCGCTAAGCAACTCAGTGAGACCCTGTCTCTAAATAAAATACAAAATAGGGCTGGGGATGTGGCAGAATTCACAGTGGTCAAGTACTCTGAGTTTAATCCCTGGTACCAAAAAAAAAAAAAAAAAGATGAGGGGGCGGGAGGAGAGAGAGATATCAGGAATTTGGTAGAAACCTTGTTATTTAAAAACTATTTAAAAGAAGAAGAAAATGTAGAATGACCAAATAAAATGCTTTAGTGCAATTTTTCTTCTCTCTCTCATCATGTCAATTGATAATATGCTGATGCCATTACAAGATTTGAGGAAGGCACATCTCACACAATGGCATAAAAACCCAATTCACACTTAGGAACCACAAGAGGATCTTATGATGAAATATTTTATTCAAGGATATATAGTAATAGTAGAAATAAATGGATACATTTAACTATCTTCATTACAACATGAAATGAAATTTCATAAGATTATGAAAGTGATTTTTATTATTTTGGTAATACTGTCCCATTATAGATAATCCCAGATACATTTTTTTTAATTTGGTATATCAAACTGTAAAAGCTATATATTAATGTTATGTCTCCAGAATCTATTTTGGTTACACCTAGGTTCCTTAGCTGCTATATGTATACACTAAAAGCATACATGATAAAGTATAAAAATATGAAAAGGTTAAATAAGGAGTTATTCTTGAGTTATAATCACATCTACTAAAGTATACTTTTCTATCACAGTTGTGTCACAGCTAAAAACATACAAATTAATATATATTGCTATGCCACTATTTGATCTAATATAGATCTACTATGAAAATATTAAGGGTGTGGTAACATTTCACAGGTAAAGGCTAAGTTCTGGGACATGAAAGCTTTTAGATAATACACAAAACAAACCTGAGACATCTTTTTTATTTTGGAAAAAAAACATTTCTTACACAGTCAAAGCTTTAACATATAAGTGAGGCATTTAATAAACAATATACTTTAACTACTATGATAACCTGAAGTAGATGTTCTGACTTTAATGGTGATCAGCAAATAACTAACTCTGGCAGAAATAAAATGAGGTTTTCTGATTAAGCCAGTAATCTGATTACCATAGTCACCAAATTTGGTTATTTTTATTCATTTTTGGTTTTATTTTCCTTCCTTTAACTAGGTTATAAACATACTAAATAAGACAGGAAACCTCCAAGCACCTAGGTTTTCTCATATAAGCCCGGCTTTCCCTTTCCCTCAAGCATCCAGGGACAACTGAGCTCAATATAAAAAAAAAAAAAACAACAGGTGATCACACTCTGGACCTGGTTGGTAATGAGGCATCCAGATCAGTGCCTTAATATTTTTGCTATTACACATCTCTCAGAATAAATTGGCTACAGGAGGCCAGAATTATTGTCTGCTGGGGCATAACTTTTTGAAATAGTGCCTAAAAACTGAAGTGTATTGGGTAAGCCTAATTTGTTTAATTAGCTTTAATGCCTTTAAAAATACTGGCACAACTTTTCATCTTCAAAAGATATAATTATGAAATTTTAAAATAAAAAATTGTATTAATATGATATTCCAAACTACAAAATAGATCTGCTATATTACAGATTTTTTTAAAAAATCTAGAGATTTAATGCTGGCACACCAAACATCTTTTTTTCCTAAATGTTCATGCTTCAAATTTTGTGCTTTAGTTAAATTAATCTGGAACGGTGGGAAGATGCTTAGCCATCTTTCTGATTCTCTTCCGACCACCCACATATTAAACCATTGTACACTCCTTCCTTTGAATTTTGATTTTAAAATTCAAAAAAAAAAAAGCTTAATTAAAGAGAGCAAACAGTAAGCTCTCAGGATTCTGTAGAACTTGTTTTGGAAGTTCCATTGCAATGAAAATAAAAATGTGAAACCTCCTTTGTATACTTTTGTATTCTTTCCATCTCTTTTTAAAAAAATGTTTTCAGGTTATTTCATAATCCATACATTTTATTCAAGTTTCATTTTTTTTCAGCTCCCAAAGCAATTTATCCCAAATAACACAACCGATGTGATCAGCTCCTGTGTCTTAGAGTGCCCCTCTCAAAACAGCCTCCAAAGAGGCTGATCCTGATTCTGACATTTAAAAAAACAAACATCAATGCTAAACTGCTTAATCACTTAAAAGAGAAACTAATCAGTTATAATGGGAATTCCGCCCTTGTTACCTATGAAAGAGAACATCCAGATAATTCATGGTATTTTCATTCTCCTCCCAGCAAATGTTAGCTTGTCTCGCTTTCCAAATGATTGTCAGATTCCTAATAGTTTCAATTGGAACTCAGTAATCAAAAAGGACTTAAAATTAACTTAAAATTTAACATGCTAAGAGTTTGAAATTTCAACGTATTAACTGCATCAATTTCAAAAGGAGAAACTATATTGTGAATACAATTTTAATAAAACATTATAAAATAAGAATACATCTTACTAACCTAATTTTGGGATCTGTTCATTGTTTAAAACTTGGATGAGAAAAGAAATCTTGCTTTGACTTGGTTTTTCATGTCAAAAAAATATGTGGTTGATTTAATCATGCTTATTTAAGTTATTGGAACCATACCTTGTTGAACTGATTGTACTTTTTGATTTTCAATATAATATGAGACATACTATTCCACCTTTTCATGATCAAAATAATTAATATTAACATACTGTTTATGAACGATTTTGTAATGTGTATATATCTGTGCATAGATATGTATATATACATATATGTTAAATACTATTCGGTGACATGGGTGGTTTTTTTTTAGCTTATAATACTTGCTGACATCAGAACATTACAATCATATAACTGAAAGTTTAGCTGAAATGGCAAATATTTTTTTTTTCTCAAAATTGAAACACTGTACCTTGGCAACCAAGAGAGAGGTACAAGTTCAGCTTGGAATTTTGTAGTCAAATAATTTACACTTTAAATTTCATGATAAATCTCTGAAACGCACTCCAATAATTAATTCAACTATTAATTTCTTTTTAAGCAACTGACTTTATGTTTCATCCTGAAGTAGGGAAGCAAAAAGTTAAATCTACCCAGCGGTACTACAGTCTTTCTAAGCCGTTTTGCTAAAAAGGTAAGAAGGGAATTTCTGGTCTTTACATTTTCCCTTATCACCCTCAGTCATATACCTTACACTGAAATCACTTGCCTTTGCATCTTCAATATATCCTGAAATTTTGCTTAGTACAATGTTCTATGAAAATGATTTCTGCACATAGAGGCTCAACCTCGGATCCACTAAAAAGGCATAATTACTGAAATACTTCATTAGATAACTGTGTGCATATGTATATGTATCTGTTAACTCCAAAGAATACTCCCTTCCTTAAGAAATTATTATTACCATGATCCAATATAAACTCCTTGGGCCCTGTGACTCTGTGATTCAAAAACTTTTCCCAGAGCTCCTGCACCTCACAAGGAGCTACTCAGTGGGGAACAAGCCTCTCCTACAGGCTTCTTGATTTACATACATCTTAGAGGCTAATTGAGAAGTGGCATCAAAGAGGAATTAGTAGGGGGAAACAAAACAAACCACTAAATTTTCCTCCTCATCCCCCTCCTCATCCCGGCTTGCTTTCTGGCTTCTCATTGGCCAGCTTCCTCAGTTTGCAACTTTTGGACAGCACTATCAAGGAGCTCCATGGACTCTCTGAGAGCGACGTGAATTTTAAAGAACTTGGGTTTAATGGTCAGGCCATAACTGAAGCTCATTTTCGAGGGCTCGTTTTGGTTGGCCTTGAAATTGCACTGGTGAGCCAGGATGGAGATGAAGAGAAACAGCAGCATCTTAGACAGCTCTTCGCCGATACACCGCCGCTTGCCCACGGAAAAAATCATGACGCTGCTGGCCAGCTCCTTGTTAATGAAGCCGTCTTTGTCCAGGAATCGGGCTGGATCAAAGTCCTCCGGGTTAGGCCACTTCACCGGGTCATGATTCACAGACCACTGGTTTACAAAAATCACCGTGTCCTTAGGGATGTAGTAACCCAAAACGAAGGTGTTGGCGGTGGTGGCGTGGGGGATGGTGACAGGCATAAAGCTGGAGAATCGCATGGTTTCGTAGAGAAAAGCCATAACATAGGGCAGGTTAGGCTGGTCACCCATACAGGGCAGGCGGTTCCTCCCCACCACCTGATCCAATTCGGCCTGCACGCGAGCCTGCACGTCAGGATACCTATTTGGGGTTTTAATGTAAAGGAGGAAAAAAAAATTGAGTAAGCAAAATTAATTCTTCCTTCATTTAGAAGTACATTACAATTTAGTTTAATTCCACTGTCTTTAAACAGGCTTAGTTAATGACTGAATGGATACTTCTGGGGCAAAAAACAAAAAAAATCTAAAACAGATTGCTAATTTTTCTATAAATTTCAAGATGGACTTTAACAATTATATTTTCCATAGTAAAACTTACATAACTAAAGCTCTCCCCCATTATAAGTCAAAAAATTCTTAAGTTTCTTTATTTTGAAAATGCACAATAAGGGCCAACCTGACTTCTCCATTAAACACTAAAAGCACAGGGCCTAGGGCTCATAATACTTTGGAGGGGCCTAAAAAATGTTTTCCTGACTTTAAAAATCTTCAGACCTAAAAAAATAAACTTTTAGGTAGAAAAAAGTCTTAATATATAATTTTTAATGTGTCCAGTTTTATATATAGTTTTAAAGCGTTTTATAGAATAAGGAGTCCACAAAGACAAAAGTTCCCAGGACTCACAAAAGTTATGATGCAGACCTAAAAGCAGATCCATTTTCTTGCTCTCATTTCCCTGGATAATTTCTTGTTCTTAATTTATAAAATATTTTGGGTATCCTGGTAGAAAAAGTTGTGCATTTTCTAAACTTAGAAGCAAATTCCCCATGTTTGTAAGATTGTGGTACAAATAGTAATAATTATGCACTGCTATTAATACAAAGTGGTACAAATCTTTTAAAAGACAAAAATCTTAATTCAAAACAAGCTTCACAAGGTAACCACCCCCCTCATTTAAAACCCAATAATTTATACCTAATAATGTATTTTCATTAAATAATCTGACAGGTACAATAACATATAACCACAACAATAGCTAAAATTGAAAATGCAATCAAAGTCAGTGACTCATGTTAAAGCTCAAGAAATGTTCATACACACACATATACTATTATGGCAATTTATTATGTAGCTATAAAAATTACTAAAATTAACATTAAAAATGTGAAATGCCCACTAAAACAAGTAGAAGTCAAAAAACACATACTCGTTTTGTTGTGATCCTGAAAAAAATAATTAAGCATGTATGGGATGAAATTATGGAAGATTTTTAAAAATCTCTTCAACATCTCGATGCAGAGGTCTGTCAACTTTTTTCATAAAGGGCCAGATGAAAATGTTTTAGATGTTGTGAATCAAATCTCCCCTGTTGCAACTATTCAGTTTTGCCTGGATACAACTATTTCAAAAAAGTATACAAAAACTTTAGTACTTTGCAAAAGTGACTGCTGAGCTTTATCCTGACTTTTGCTCGCATTCCTAGCGCGGCATTTATGAACCCAGCACGGCCGGTTGGTTTCTGGCCGCCTCTGGAAAGCTTCTGCATGGGTTGGCCCACGCAGGCTGACCTCCACAGTCTTCCTTTGTCTGGGAACAAAGCCCTGACCAGCAGCTCACTTTTAGTGCCAGGACTGGGCAGCCTCTGATCCGTACCGATTACGCGGCTGTGTTTATTTAACTTATTTGCTGCATTTCCCTTCCTTCTGGAGCCGTTCCAATATTGCTTCTATTGCACCAGGAAGAGACCTATCAGGGCTGATCTGTGGACATTTTAGACATCTCCTGTTTGAGGGATTTAACAAATTTGTCGCCACTCGCCAGCGCGGGAAGGGAGAGGAAAGACAAGATCCGAGATACTGAGAGACCACTGCAGCTCTACGTGGAGTGATCGCGTGCGAATCAAAGCCTACGCTACGCATTTCTGGGCGTCGTTTTAGGGAGGCGATCTCGGTTTTGAGGAAAGCAGACCTGGAGCGAAACTTCAAACCCTATGAGATGCTTATGACCTCAACATATTCTAGCCCACACCGTCTTCAGAGGAGGAAAGAAAAGCCCAACCCAGGCCTCCTGGAGGATTTACCTGGTGAAGAAGATAAGCGGCCACAGTAGCGCAGTGGAGAGGGTGTCCTGGCTGGCTCCAAAGATGTCGGTGACAGTGGCCGGCACGTTCTCCAAGTCCAGCCGCGCGAGACCGTCTCCCGAGTCCTCAGATACCTTCTTTTCTGCGGAGAGGATGAAGGCATCCATCATGTCGCGGGGGGTGGACTCAGGACGAAGACGTTCGCGGTGCTTCCGGAACTTATCCAGGACAAAGTTGCTGAAGTTGCGGTTAAGCTGCTCGAACTCGCGGAAAGTGGTGCGCAGTGGGTTGGGAAAATGCTGCAGCCAGGGCAGCACGTCCACTAAGCTGCCGGCACCCACTGTGCGCCCGAACTCCTCGTTGTGGCTAAGCAACTCGAGGAATTCGGCGTCGTCGTGATTGTAGCGACAGCCGAAGCACACGGCGCTCATGACGTTAGCCACCGCCACGATGATGGGCTGCGTGGGATCGAGGAAGTTGCCTCCAGCGCTGCCGCGCACCAGTAGTGCCACCAACTCGCGCGCCTCACCCAGCACGTGGCCCTCGAGGATATGCCTGCTGCGCGGCTGGCGCGTGGAAAAGGCGCGCATTATGCTACACGCCGAGCGCCGCTGCGCCTTCCACTGCTCGGTGTAATGGCCGAAAGCCAGGCTGCGGCCACCCGACACTACGCGGAAGGAGGCAAAGGACGGTCGGTCAGCAAAGGTGGCACCCTGCTGCACCAGGGCCTGGTGGATGGCGCTTTCGCCATTCAGCACCACCACCGGACAGCTGCCCAGGCGGATCTGGAAGACGTCGCCATAGCGCTGCGCCAGGCGTGCGAAAGACAGGTGCGACGCCCGGCCCACTGCCGCGGCGTTTCCGATCAGTGGCCATGGGAAGGGGCCCGGGGGCGAGGACCAGGGCTGCCGCCGCCGCTGCCTCAAAAGCCACTGACCCACGTGCACCGCGGCCAGCACGGAGAGGAGCAGCAGGAGCGTAGACTGCTGGACAGACAGCGCGCTCAGCTGCCATGGATCATCTGGGCTGAGGCCCGTGGCCATGCTGGGGACAGAAAGGCAAAGGCGTGACACTCAGTGTGAAGAGAAAGGAGAGGGCTCCCCACGCTCCTTTCCCAACTGTCGAACCTTTGGGTGAAGTGGAGGCCATCCATAGGTCTGGACGGGGCTGGCTCTCTGGAGAAGTGGCGGAAGACACCTCTTCCCACACCTACACCAAGCTCTGACAGGGAAGGAAAGGAGCGTGTTTCTCTCTCTGGGATCCAGCACTAGCCTCTGCACCCCCAATCACGTAACGGTTCCTATAATTTCGGGACAACACTACAGGCATCTTGGGATGACTCTTGGTTTCCTTTAAACTGCCTACCACCCCATCCCGGACCTGCAAGAACCCATGTGAGGAGGCCACTGGGAGGCGGCTCAGCGGACAGACTGACCTGCGGGGAGGTGCGGTTTCCAGCGGCGCGGGACGACCGGCTCCAAAAAGGGGCTGAGGGTAGAACGTCAACCCGAGAGTCGACAGGAACCTGGAAGTCCTTCCTGGACACCTCTTGCCCTCTCTGGGAGCTTTAGCACTCACTTTGGAGTCGCTTGGTGTCCACAGAACCAAGAGCCCTTGGACTGGGATGGGGACGGAAAAAGGTACCTCCTTTGCGGAGCCCTGCTGCACCTGGGGCTCTGAGAAAGTCAGGATTTTCTCAGAGCGTTGGAATGGAGCAGGAGATTGATGAGTGGAGTCAGTTCCCAGCCCTCATGTCCCCCGGGCGGCTCTCACAGCTGGCGTCGCCGAGGTGTTTGCACACACTCCAAAAACTACACGCGCCATCTGATTCTCCGGGTTTTAAGGGCTGTAGAGCGAGGAGGAAGCGGGACCTGGAGGGGCGGGGCTTGTGGGGGCGGGGCTCGCGGTTAGGGTCTCCACTGCTGGGCTTGGAATCCGATTCCAGTCTGCGCGCCTGGGTGGTCCAGCAAGGCGTCTGCGCGGCGCGCTCCGACAGCGGTGCAGCAGTAGAGTAGCTAGAGGCCTTGGGAGCGACAGTGTGAACTTTTCATTTGTCTCCTAACGGCTCTTCATCACAGTTAACTCCCAGTCTAAGCCTCAAGGTTTCCTCCAGACCCTCACTGGGGACAGAATGCTCTTGGCACAAGCATTAGCCCAAGGACACCCCACACCCCGAAAGCTAGACCTCTTTTTCCTCTCGGTGACTTAGGATTGGTTCTCCGAGACACAATTGCTCCCGATCCTTGAGCATCCCTAGCAGGGAAAGGAAACCTGTCTGTTTGGGAAAGAGGAAAGCTCGAGTTGTTGCGGTGGTTAGCCTTATTTTATTTAGTCTACCTTTTTCGCAACCTAATTGACCTCTCCGTTGTGGTACTTTGACACACAACGTTCTCTTTTCGTCTTTTGCAAGATCAGAAACCCTCAGCGCTCCTTTCCAGGACCTAGATCATCTTGGGCACACAAAAAGCCAGCGCTCAATCCGGGCGCGGATGGCTCTGAGATTCTCTTTCGGAAAAGACTCCAGGTGGCGCCGCCCGCTGGAGCGCACGGGTTGGAGCTGGCAGCAACCAGGTCGTTGTGCAGGGCAAGGAGCCAAGCTGCGGCGAACAAGGGGGCGGGGAGGAGAGGACCGGCTAGGCGCTCCGGAGATTCTTGGAGCTAGGGACCCGAACTGGGGAGACGAGGAGGAGGAGGAGGAGGAGGGGGCGACTTTGTTGGGTTGAAAAGTTTCTTCTGCTGTCGCCTCCCCCTTGCGTGCGGAGCTGTGCCTTGCGTGCGCAGCTTCTGGGAAGTCATATCCCTGGGCGCTCCTCGCGGCCGCCCCTCCCGCGCTTCTCACGGCACCTGACACGCCGAGGCGGCGGCCAAGGGCGGGGTGCCTGCCGCCACCACCCTCGGCGGCGCACGCACTACCGCGCCCGCGGTGACAGCCAGGACGCTTGGGCCACCACCCGCAGGCCGGGTTGCAGCGCGACCCAGGGGCACCCGCGGCTCAGTCCCTTTCCCCGGGTGCATATACTCTCAATGGGGATGCTTCTTTCTAAAGGGAAACCAGAAGCAATTTGAACCCTGAGGCAACGGCCCCCTTTCCTTCACGCTATTACTAGTGCCTAGTACCATGTTTACAACCACATTGAAAGAACAAGGTCTCCCCGAGTCTGAGGAAAGGGCCAGCCCAGGGCAGGAGGTGAGATGTATCCAGTTAATAAGATGGGAATTGTTTTTCCTAGCCTAGGAGATCACCAAGGGTAAATACAAAAGTTGCACTTTTGCCACGGGACAACCATAAGCTTTGAGCTCTTCCCGCGCTCCAAATCTTGTGCTATTATTGCCTCATTTACAGATAAGGAAACTGGGGTTCAGAGAGTTTATCTAAGTCACACAGCTGTCAAGATACTGAGACAGGATTTGAGCCTACAAAATCCCACTCTGGATTCCTCATACAGATTTACACGGAAGAAAATCACAGATATGGCCTTTCTTGCCTGCATTAAAAAAAAATCATGTGGAAGAACTTAATTGTTCTGGTAACAGGATTTGGGGTGTCACAAAGAAGAAACAGAGTGCTCACTCTTTGCAATAAAAATTGGTTATGAGGGAGGACTGAGACAATGCCTCATAGCAGCCCTCAGAATAACTGTTTGCATTGTTAAAAAAAAAAAAACTTAAAGGAGTGCCTGTAAAAGAGTCTAACTCCTGAAAGATTGAAACCAAAAATAAAATATCTGACCTACTTTAAAAAGGCATTTTTGTAAAAGTCTTCATTTGGTAAGTTTTGAAAGATCCTCTAGGAGTTTTTCACACACAATAATGGGGTACTCAGATCAAAGCTGAAGTTGGTTTGGGGCAACTGCATTGGTTTGATAATAAGCATTGGTTAGCCAGAGCTGTTGGTCTACATATTTGTCTTTGCCCATTTTATGTTACCATAACAAAATACCTGAGACACATAATTTATAGAGGAAAGAGGGTTATTTTGGCTCACAGTTCTGGAGTCCAAAACGTTCAAGAGAATAATGCCAGCATCTGCTCAGCTTCTGGTGAGGAGTCAATCCCACCCCAAGCTCCTGAGGGAGGCAGAAAGGAAATGGTCACCTGAGGGAGAGGGAGAACATAAGGGTCAGCAACTTTTCCAGTCCCCAAGAGAGTAGCACTCACTTACTGGAGGAAGACATTAATATATTCAAGAGGACTCTGCTTCTGTGATCCAAATACCTCCCACTAGATACTACCTCCAACATTGTGCATTGAAGAACTTTGCGAAGACACTCTCAAAGCAAGCAATTCCTTTGAAAAGAGTTTCATAACAGCCTTACAGTGCTCAGCTTTAGCAAGACCCTTGTCAATTATTCAGAATTATACTAAGAACATCAGTCTCTTATCCAGGCTTTAATTTAATAGATGGGGATTATTAATGAGTTAATGCCAATTCTGAGTTTTCAGAATTCCCAAAACTTTAATCACAGCATCTTTATCAGAATTAGAGCAAATGGAAGTGGCCTTTGAAACAAGTAAATTCCTGTTTTTAAAAGTATGAAATGAGTCTGTCCCTATGAACTTTTGCTTAACTCCTCAATAATGCCCTATAGATTTTAGATCAACTAGATGCACGCCTTCCTGCTACAGCAAATAGTTAAGGAATGTCCTCCTTGGGCTCAGCTCTTGTTCTGGGACATGCCTCAAAAGCAGAAAAACCTGTTGTGCAAATACTATCAGAAAGATAGGCCCTTATCAGTTATGGCCAACCAACGTGGCTGGCCGTGGTGCATCTTCAGGTTCTTCCTGGCTTTATGGTGTGCACCTCATTGTAGCACCTACTTGGTAAGTGATGAAGACTTTTCGTGAATCCAGTGCAGCCTCTGTGTACCCCAGTCCAGCCAAGATGAGGTGCTCCCTGAAGAGTCCACATCAGGCTTTTTAATTAATCATCACAACTTCTAGACCACAGCAAGGATCCCAGGCCCAGGGGGTCTTCTTTCAGTCCACAACACAAAATAGGGGGATTTCTCCCTCCCAGATCTCAAACTTGATTGTTTGCCATTAAATAGCTTTCAAAAAGTACAGTTAAGCTAGAGGATACTTTAAAGTAGAGGTTTTAAATGCCTTATGTTGTGTTGATTCCAGGAAACAGTTTAAGCTTGTTTAAGCGGGACAGGAATGTACCGACTCATGTGGCAGAGGATAACTGTGGTACTCACAGGATGGGAGGATCCAGGCAGGCTGCTTTCCGGCCTTCTGCTCCTGTCGGTCTTCACTCAGACTTCGTTCCTCTGTGTGCTGGGGAAGCTGGTCATAGGAAGCCTTTGATCAGCAACCCAAGAGAAGGAGAGTGTTTGTCCCCCAAGGTCCTAGAAGGACTCTGGGGGTCAGGCTTGCATAGGTTCCACCCTATAATGAACAGTTCACTCTGATATCAGGAAAGAGAGATGGGTGAGACTGGTAAGAAACCAGAGAGCCACCACAGTCCTCTCCATGTGTGCACTGATGTCCATGGCTCTCTTTGTCATTGTTATTACTATTATTATTTTAAATCAGAAGATGGATGCATTGCCTCTGTAGACAACAGTCAAGAAAGTTCTGGCCTCAGCTATCAGGATGGAAGCCAGCTTTCTTTGGGTCCTTTCTGTCCATCACGACCCCTATGTTGATATAGATAAGTACCCTGCTTTTCCAGCCCCCTCCAGACACGCAAACACTTGAGAGGACAGTGGGGTGGAAGCAGCCATCTCTGGCAAGCCCTGGACTTTGGGGTGGGCAGGAGTCAGTAATCAGGCAGTTGTCAGTAGTCAGGAGTAAGAAGAATAAGAAGACTGGGGGTATGGCAGAGGGGAGGGGGCCATAGGACATTGTACAGGAAATTGAGAGGATTGTAAAAGCTGATACAAACCCTGTGCACACCGGTATTGTTTCTGCTTTCTCCCTTCTGGAAGACACAGGCTTGAGAACCACAGAACTTAAAAAATAAATTGATCTTATCTCAGAAGTTTTCATTTGTAAGATTCATCATCATTTTATGTACTAGGGTAAAGGCTGAGTGGGGAAGCTTCCAATTGTAATTTGCTGTCAATTTTTAAAATACATCCAGATTTCAGAGATGCTAAAATGTAAAGTTTTAAAGTGTGCTTTAGAGTTTATGAATCATTATGCATGCTAACGAGGGTCTTCCTAATTCACCATCTTTGTAGTAAGCAATTATTCTAGTTTCCCATCAAAATGCTTCCCTAAGAATTCAGATGTAAAGGGGCATCAACGTCTATGAGTTACTCTTAAATGACTCAAGAAAAAAGAGAGAGAGAGAGAGAAAGGAAGGAAGGAAGGAAGGAAGGAAGGAAGGAAGGAACAAATGAAGGAAGAAGGGAAGGAAGGAAGGTGGAAGATGAATGTGGGAAGAAGAGGGAGATAGCATAATAACATAACCATGGCAAAATGTTAAGTGGATAATCTGAGTAAATGAGAGTTCTTTGGAATAATTTTGTAACTCTCCTGTAACTTTGATATCAAAATTGTTCTTGTGTCCTGAGATGGCTATGCAGTCCAGTGTCCTCCACTGGCACCTTGCTCTTTCGCTGACTCAGTACAGCAATGATCCCATAGGAAGAGAAAAACTGTCACAGTCTGTGGTCACCTTTGCATATTTGTTCTCTGGGTTTCCACCACCATCTTTGTAGTTCCAACATTTGCTCTTCTCACAGTGGAATGGGAAGCCTGCTGTCCGTGACTTTGGTTAGCAGAGAAAACCTGTTAACCAAAGCGTGCAAGTGTGCGCGCGCACACACACACACACACACACACACACACACATAAACACACATACACACACACATATCTTTAGGCAGATAGAGAATATTGTTGTTCATTTTTATTTTTATTTTCTGAAATTAAATATTTATCAGGTTATGGAGAAAATACATAATGCAACAAGTAAAGTTCTCCCCCCACTGAGAGAGAGACAGAGACAGACAGACAGAAACACTTGGGTTAAGGTAAATCATAACATCTCACCCTGGGCTGTTGACTGGTACAGTTTCAAGGTTTTTATATGGTTTCTTAGTAGAAAATCCAGATTCCAGTCTCTCCCACCCCACTCTATTTCCCATAGTTTTTAGTATTAGATCTATATTTTTCTCACAAGATTTTCTTCTTTTTCCACAAAGTGACAAAAATTCAGGTAAAAAAAAACTGTTGTCATATGCAATTTTGAGAACATAATTGGTAGTTAAATAATGTAAGTGGTTATTTTTCCCTCACATAATCCCAAAAGAGAACAGAAGGGCAGGATAATTACATATTAGCATTTTTGACGGTTGGCTCCCGTAGGATTTTTCCCTTCTGCTGTTGAAATGGTTGGTCATTTCTCAGCTGTGGCCTGTTCTATTGCTGGACTGCTTTGTTTAGAAAGTTCTAGATGTTAGGAGATTGTTCTTGATATCAAGAAAAATACAGAAGGAACTTTCATGTCTTCTTTGGAGGAGATCAAGACTGATTCTCCTTTCCTATAATGTGTTTGAAGACGACTGTTGTGCTGCCTCTAAGCCATTTTTCCACAAATTAAAAGTGCTCAGTTTCTTTAAAAACAACAACAAAAAAAGTACCCAGTTTCTTTCTCATTGTTTGAATTTGAACCTGATTTCCAGCATTTTACCCAGCTTTTCTATGCCTTCTGCACAAGGTAGTTTTTCAATATGTTTTTCTAAGTATGTGCCTGAAACTGAACACCACATCCCAAAGGTGACATCTTCTCCAGCCCAAAGGAATGTGGTTAGTTTCTATCACACATAGTGCTTCTTTTAATGCAGACCAAGTTTTTGGCCAATTTC